ATTAAAAACCAAAATAAAATGTATGTTGCTTAGCATTTTAATGAACTACAAAAACAACTAAGTTCACATAATACTAAAGCTCTAAATGATGTAAATATTTTCTATTGTAAAATGAGTATCTACTTTATGTGTATTATAGAATGGCTGGGGAAATTGTCTACCTAGGAGAAAATCCTTTGTCATTTTTTCCTTTAAATTGGTTTGGCTTCTTTTAAGTTATGCTAGTGTAAAAATACACTAGATTGTTTCTTTAGCTTACATAACCCTAAAGCTGTTCCAATTTAAAATATGAAATCTGGTCAGCAATTATCTCAGACACTATATAAATACTGTTGTTGTTTTGGCCAAAAAGAAATTAGCTGATATATTTAAAGTTGAAAGGGGAAATCAGTTCGTTGGAGGTTTTGAGATTCTTGGCTTATTGTGTAACACCATAAATATTGAGGCATTGTCCATGTCTGGCAGGCAAGCAAAAACAGTTGAAATGGTTGCTACAGAATTTCACTGATCATGACTTCATCTTGACAAAGTAAACTCTTCTTCTGAAGACAATGGCCCTGATTCTCAGGTCTGGCTGAGCTGCTCTCAGTGCAGGACCCAAAAGACCCATCACCTTTTCAACTACCTGATTTTGGCCACTTTACCCAACAATGTAAATTACAGGGAGCCTCAGGATTGCTCTCTATGGCATCCAGCTGCTCGCAAACCTCCAGGGACTGTTCCAGCAACTGGAAATAGTTTGAGCACAGTAGTACTCTGGCCACATTCCCTTTTGCCTGACATGCTGCCTGAGTTGGATACTGCAAAGGGGTGGCAAAGATCCTCTGTGCCAGCTGTATGTCACCCAGCTAAATAGGCTTTATGGGCCCTTTACACACCGGGAACTGCTGAAAAGAAACATACTGTGAAAGAGAATCAAGCCCTATGTGAACAATGACAGTATTTTCAATTACACAGACAGGGGGGTCAGAGAACTGATTAAGCTCCAGAACCAGCAGCGTAAGTGTGGATCCATCTAGATTTTTAGACAGCACCCAGTATAACAGCATTCTGGTCCATGCCTGGGGTTCCTAAGCACTACCACAATACAAATAATAATAAATAAATAACAGAAAACTTTTAATTAGTTTCTAACGCCCCAAATGCTCAGCCTACAGGATGGTGAAAGTCTTCCTTAATTCCGAAGGAGTCTTCTACACATTTTGTTGACTTTCCCCATAGTGCATAAAAATACTAAGGTGTTCTTGTTACTGTTTTATTTTACTTTTAAGTTCAAACACTTCCTGCATTGTTACAGAGAAGTTAATTTCCTGTTTCACTTTCTGGAAGTATTTAAAATGTTTTGGCTTACTTGCTACGAGATTTCCCACTCAGGAAGAAGTGGGTTTTGGATTGAAATGGTTGGAATGTGATTCTGCTTCCCATTGTTTCCTGAATAAATATAGAACAGGCAAGTAAATTATGGGGATTTACTTTGATAGTTGGTTTCTGATGATATCATAAGCCACAAAAGTGAAGCTTGAGTTGCTGGCACAGTCGATCACCAAGATGGAAGCATAGTGCTCTCATTCAAAATTCCCTTGCTTCACAATTGTATACAGATCATGGAACCAAATTCCAGTGCTATACCCCAGACAGACTACAGGCCAAATACTACTTGGCTTATTCACAAGAGTTGTTCCATGGATTTTAATAGAACTACTCACATGAGTGAAGTGAACAAGATCAGACCTGCTTTCTCCCTCCCTGTCCAGCTGCTCCAGTGGGAGCAGCGATCGGCCGAACCTGCGGACGCGGCAGGTAAACAAACCGGCCTGGCCCGCCAGGGGCTTTCCCTACACAAGCGGCGTCCCAAGTTTGGGAAACGCTGGTCTACAGGATCAGCCTTTGAGATCTGGCAAGCTTTCCAGACTGTTACCCAAATCTGTGTTTTGGCAATTTAAAAAAATAGTTTGCATTATGTACCTGACAGGCAGTAGTGATTCCAAATCAGTGACTATTGCATGGGTTTAAAGACATACTTACATACTAAATGGACACATCAACTTTCTAGCATCATATTGATCCACATTTTTGGAAGCAACAGCTTTAAACAATGAGAGAGATTCCAGTCTCTGAGATGTAAGTAGCAAAATTGCACATCTCCAGAAATCTGCCAATGCCCTTCCCTGGTTGGTTCATAAAAGATGCCAGGTTTCATCTTAAAGCCATTTGTGCTAACCGTACCCAAAAATCAAGGTAACATTTCATAGCATGTGTAGTAACCAAGTGGAATTGTTGCCATTGCTGTTATAACACTTGGGGTGGGGAGTCCTCTGCTGCAATAACAAGCCAAGGCCCAACCTGCCACACCCAGGTTCGACACCACGCTGTTTTTCTGTCTGAAGAAAAGTATGCCCCAATACCTACACTACCCCTAAACCAGCCAGAGGAGATTCTGCAGCACAACACAAGATGCTTCCTCATCCCAGATGCATCAGAATCACCTGCTATTATTTAAAGGACAACATCACAGGCATCGTTTTTATTTTCTTTCAGTTTTATGCATGATATTCACGAAGGGTCCTGCTTACAATAGTTGCTGAAAATTGCCATTTTAGTGAACATAAGTTTCTTGTCAATAAGCTAATTTTCTAGAATATTCACAGTAAGTGCACACAACTGAAGTCAATTAATGTGATTGAGCATGTGGACAATATTTTGCAGTATTTGCCCAGCTTTATTCATGAATATGCAAAAAAATAGGGGGGATTTAATTGAAACTGTTTTGCAACCTTAACTACCATGAGTGCACATACTATTGTATAATAAACCAGTGTAACATTTCAAGTATAACAAATTTGCATTGGGTACCTCCAGGTACTTATCATAATAAACCAATGTAAAAGTTCATCCATCACAATTTGTTCTAGGCTAAAAATGTGTGCACAATTTGTGAGTACACCACAGCAGCACAATGGCAGATTTTTTGGAGAAGGCTGATTTCATTGTTCCTAGTCTCTGAGATTAGTCGTGCAATCTAAAGATGTTCTATAAAAAGACCGAGAACATCCACCACACATGCAAGACATTTCGTTCCATAAGGCTCATGAGGGAACTTCTTAGACGTGTAGCCAACAAGCTGTGGGTGTTCTTCTGAATAATAAGGAGAACATATGTTAAAACAGCACATGCTTGAAAAACATTTTTATGAGTTAAAAGATGCATTTAAATAAATACGATAGGTTCAGTATGTGCATGCAGTATTCACATCTATGGATATGGGAAGATAATAAATGCAGCATATTGTAATAGCATAAACTTCTCACTCAACCAAACAGCCCAAGCACAGAAGCCGTTGCTAAGTCTGCATGTTTGTTAAAGCAAAACAGGAAAGGAAATATCAATCAAACATGTTAACGAAGTTTCACAGTTGCTCCGCCAGCTCTTACAAATAGTAAGCTGTTTAGTATAAAATGCTCATCAGTGTTTATAGATACAGTGATCAAAAGAGAATGGATATGTAATCGTGAAATCACAAAATAGAAGATGATGCAACTACATTGCAAAATATACTAATTCCATTTGTAAGTTTAATTGTATTTGTTACATAGCTGCAGAAAACCTAGGGAGAGTAGTTAAAATTCAACTAAAATATAAAATTATGGCAGTTAAATTCTGGACTAGATTTCTGGAAGCCATGAGAAAAATCTGAATTCACAATTGAAAAATAAATCTGAAGATTCTTCCACACATGTGGGTTAAAGGTTCAAACAAGCTATTGGGCCATATCTGTTTTTAATTGTCACAACAGATTGTCATAAAGTCAATTCTTTGACCTTTCAGAGTGAAGTATAACAAAGCAAACCAGTGAAAGATCTTCTAAATAATATTTATTTTTAAAGATCTGAGCTATACTGCTTTATGCAGATGCCGCCCAACAGATACATCCTAGAATAATATTTACAGTCAATAATAATTTCTATTTATACTCTGAGTGCTGCCATAATGGTAATTTGACAACAAAATCCATCCTGAACTATTACCAACACCCTCTAGGATTCAACAAAACCTGATACAATTGTGCTAGTGCTAATCACAGATTTCAAAATAAATACAACTAGCGTAGCCTGGACCATTTGACAAGCCATATTTAATAACCACCAACAAAAAAAGTAACAGGGTCTGCATTTGTCTAATGTTTTAATATGTAATATTTAATATCTCAGCCACCCTATACAAAATAAACATGTGATCAGGTAACATAAGGACAAAGAGAAATTTGCTGTTCAAAAGACTGCTGAGTAAATAATGTCCATGTAATTTGAAAACAAGTTTTAGAACTGCAGTTTATTTTAGCTTTTCAGTGGAATCCCAGCGAAGTTCAAAAAGCACCAGCAGATAACTTCAAAACAATACAGCCATGTTCTCAGTGCTAATAAATGTCTGAGTGAAAGAGTCTATGCTAATTAATAGCCTCAGTCATTTTTATGAAGTCCCACTGGCATTTGATTTATGTGTCTGTACTGTACAGTTCCTGACCCCATTTCTAAAGACTAAACAAAATATGTGCTGCACAGCAAGTAGAAGAGGACTAAAGTTTCCATGGAGTCAAAAAATAATGCAATGCTTCAATCAAAGCATTAGGAATTCATTTGACAATAAAAGTGTGCTGAAGAACTAGTTAATGGGCTGTGTTTACAAGGATTTCATTGTCACTAGGTCACTCACATGCTTATTTGTACACACTTCAAACTCAATGTTAATTTTAGTTGGACATAAATGGTCTTGCTGGACTCATCCCAGGCCATTATTGCAGCTAGGGTTGCCAACTCTGACTGAATCTATTCCGGGGGATTTTTTTCCCAACTCGACAATGTCATTTTCTTAAAAGAGCCTATTAAAATCTCCTGGATTGCTTTCAATTGTGACCGTGAGATCGATGCCAATGCTGGGAGACTCCAGGCCAATCCTGGAGGGTTGGCAACCCTAATTGCAGCACACCCATTGGGTTGACTTACCTTATTCACTGTTTGTGAATTATTGGAAGGGAAGAAGCAATGAGTGTTCCTTGAGGAGACCTCCTTGTACCTCTCTTGCTGTATCGCAGCTAGTTTGTTTGGTGAACTCCCATTATCAACTGCCAAAAAGAATCGTTTGGTCCGTATAGGTGGAAGGATCTGGTAGAAAAGATAGACACCCACCACCAGCACCAGAAGGAAGGGCCGAGGGCGACAAAGCCTGCGGCAAGAGGGAATCTGCCAACAAACCATGACCACTTCGCCTTTCTCACTTTGCCCTTTTCCACATCACAGGAACATTCGCAGCAGCCACTTTCCATCGGCACAAAAAAGACAAAGGAGTGTTTTTCCACAACTAATTCAAGTTCTTCCCATTCCTGCTGCTGAACTCCCCCATGGTACCGAACAAGAAGTCATAGGTCTGAAAGGCAGAGAGCACTCCAAAGAGCTCTTCATAAAGGTTACAGGAATAGACTCCAACCTGTGCAAAACACAAACAAATAGCAATCATTGTCACACTAATGAACCAGACTTAGCCTTTCTCCAATGCATAGTTTGCAGAATAGACCTACGCGCAATCAGCCGAGGAGCAGAAATCTTTACTCCAGCTCTGCAGAAGAAACTACAGGCACACAATAGCATCCAAGGAAGCAATAAGTAAAACTTAACATATGCCTTGCATAGCTGAAGACTGTCCAGGCTTTGCCAGCAATCATATGATTTTTTTTTCTATTATATTTTCAATCCCCACTTTGTTTTTACCGTTTCCTTCATTCCAGTCCTTTTTAAATTGCCCTTTTCCTGTCAGCACGCACCGCACTCAGTGAGCATTTATCTGGCATCTGCCAGACTATGAAGACTTTCCTTTGGGTTTGTTTTGTTCCGATTCGAGTTCAAAGTTATGTTTACTTACTCAGTTCTTATCCTGACAGAAGTTTTCCATTCTCCCCGAATGGGTTGCTGATTAAAACCATTTGGAACAACTCAGCCTTATGACTCCAGCTCATCTCACATAGACAGACAGACATACACACAGTCCTGCATACACCATCTGAACTCAATTGGGCCACAGACATCATATAAAGAAAGGCTGGACTGCACAGGGGGTGGGGCTAACTTCACTCAGCTCTGAAGAGGCACAGATTGGGAACTGGAGAAGCAATGTTAGCTCTGAATCAGAAACAAGAAGTGTCCTTGCTCATATAAAATGTGTATTTCCAAATTACAGTCACACAACAGTTATTTAAAAGTCTTCTGTTATTGTAACAACTCCGAATGAAAAGAACCTTGCAGGTAGTGGAGAATCTGACCATCACATGCAGCATTTAAATCCAATTTTACAAACATATTGTTAACATTTCAATAAGCCAGCCTTACTTGTGTCTATCACTTCCAGCACTGCCATGGCAATATGTGGTGAACCTCAGTGGTGTACGGTGTATTTAATATCACTGCATGAAAATGTCCCCTATTTAATAGAAAAGACGGAAAGAAAGGAAGACAGCCTGAAAGACTCCAAGTAAACCATTCAGTATCTCAACTACAGAAATGCCTGGTTACTACTTCCCCCTGCTGACACAAGACAAGGGCTGAACAGACTCAAACAGTTTAGGGGCTCAGCATTATCATCACAAACCTAAGCTGCTTATATGATAACGTTCCTTTTGCTAAAAATATTTGCATATATATCGCATGCACTTTGTTCTGTATTCTTAACTATATATGAAAAAAAGAAACAAGGACAATCCCAGGACCCAAACTCTCTCATATATATGAAAAATGAGAGTCAGTCTGTTATACAGAACAGCAATACCACCGTTCTAGTATCTTACTGAGATTAGCACTTTGTGCAGCTGTGGGAAGTGATGTTTATACTTGTGTCTGAAGTAGTTGTGTTTATTTGGATTTGGAGTCTATTTTTTCTAATGCCTGAGTTAAAGCAATCACTTTGCATATTAAAAAATGCCATATAAGCAAATTTAAAAACTGCTGTCTCTGGTTTATTTCTTAGTCACAGCAATTCCTGTAATATTTACTGCATGGTGTGTTGACACAATGTGAATTTTTAGTCTCATTTCTGGCATTATAATCATATAGATTGTCTTAAATTGATTCCCAGGTTACTGGGAACAAGAAAAGGATTCTAAAGGTCATCCACACCCTCCACTGGAGAAAGTTTTCCCTCCATACAAAGAACACCCTTCTCTTCCCCAGGGAAACATTCCTAATGCCAGTTCCAGTGCATTGCTGCAGTATATCACTACAGCCTCAGATCCTCAGCCACTCCCTCTAGATGCCTTATGCCGCTCCAGCCAAACAGTTGGAAAGCCAGTGAATCCGTCTAGCTGGGGATTGTCCTTGCATGGGAGAAACCCTGAGTGCCCTAGACCTAGCCCCAGGATCTCAAAGTTCTTCTGTGCCTTCCTCCTCCAGCTGCACTCTGGTAGATGCAGACTAAGAACCTGGGTGTTTGTCTTCTTGCAGCATTTCCAGAAAATACTGCAAGACCACTAGATTTCACTGTAGTTGAACTACCCAACTAAAACCTCTCCAGCGCATCATCAGAGATCTACAACCTATCCTGAAAGATGATTCTTTACTCTCACAGATCTTGGGAGACAGGCCTGTCCTTGCTTACAGACATCCCAACCTAAAGCAAATTCCCCCCAGCAACCACACATCACTGAA